AGCTTCCAGCAGCTCCTCTTGCCCCCCACACGCTCAGCAGCTCGCTACCTGAAGTTATAGGAGACGTTCACAATCTGTCCCGTAACTTCCCAACTTCCCCTCCGACTCTCTCTCTCTGATCTCATCTTTTCTCCCTATTCCTCCCTCTCTGATCTCTCTTTCTCTCCTCTACCCCCGGATTCTAACTTACAGGGACTGTCCTCCCACTGCCTTGGGTCTCTCTCTCCAGTCTATGTTCAATCTACCCACGGCACCCCCCTCCACAAAGCCGTCCTGCGCGGGCATTCTCAGGATTCTCTCCGGGGGACTCCTCCCCACCTGAGCATTAGCTCCACACAGCTCAGCCGCCAGCCTGCCTCCAGCCACCCACCTGTGTGGTGGCCTCACCTGGGCTGGAACCATGACATGTGTCGGTTTCCCTCGGTGCCCACCTGCCTCAGCACCTTTAACACACTGAATGATCAGCATATGCCCACAGCCTGGACTGACGACATTAACCACGCATGTCTAACTGGGCGGTGGGACCATCACAGGCTCCTCTGACCACAAGCCCCTTCACTCCTCTGCCCGATGTTAGGGTACATTACTCTGCCCCACAGAGTATGGCCTTCCCTTCCAAAGCCACCATCAGACAGTGGGGGAAAGATGTGCATTGGATCTTCGGGCCCAGTGTCAGATTCCCCGTCCCACCACACACTGGCTCTATGACCTAACCTTAGTAATTTAACTTCTCTGAGCCTCAGTTTTCTTGCCTGCAAAATGGGGTTGATATAGGTACCCACCAAGTAGGGTTTCTGTGCAGAGTAACTTAAGTAATACATGTAAAGTGCTAGCACTTGGCATGGTGCCTGGCACTCGGTAAGCACACAGTGAGTGGTGGCTCATTACCATGGGGTGGGAGGGTCTGCCATATTTAACCCCACCCATCCCCACCCACGCAGACCATTCCAGCACCGGAAGTGCGCACAGCAGAGCCCCCGCCCAGAAGCCTCACTGCCTGTATTTGCGCTGCTGCGCTCACCTATGGCTTAGTGTTTACTCGACAGCCACAGTCTTCATTAGGGTTCCTAGCATATCAATTCCTACCTATGAGGCCCAAAGTGTACATTATACTTATTTTTTATTTTATCCTCAGCACGAATTATTCCTGGGTACAGCAACCTTTTAATAAGTGAACAGTCTCGGGAGGAGATGCCAGCACCACTAACAAACGCCAAACTAAGGCCATCGGGTGCAAACAAATGGTCAACCCGCCAAAGTGTACCCGCTGGTGAGATGTTGTAACTGGAGGGCAGGTTACATAAGACACTGACATGCAGGGTACCCAGTGCTGTCTGTGACATTAGGACAGGCCTGCAGGCTCCTGACCCACATGCCTGCAAAAGGACATCAGAGCAGGCCCAGCGCCTGGGAGCAGGCAAGGCTGCTGTCCAGACTGAGATGAAAACCACCTCAGCCCTCCTTAGAGGGCACAGAAAGACCCTTGAGCAGGGCCCACCTGGACAGGAACAAGGATTGTCCTTAATTCCAGATTGCTCAGTGCCATCACCTGTCCTCTCTGTGGCCGTGTCTGTAAAGGCCAGAGGCAGGTGTGGCTTTGCAAACTGCACCTGGGAGGGAAGAAGCGGTGTGAGCGCTGCCGCAGAGCCCAATCCCATGCTCTGGGAGCCAGGAGGGCGGAAGGGAGGGGAGGATCTGCTTGCTGGCAGGGCACCGTGCTACCAAACCACCACATGGACACTGCAGGCCTCGAGCTGGTGTCCAGGCCCCCGCCTCTCCTCCTCCCAGTTCCCTGGAGGTACATGAGGGCTTTCAGGGCAGAAAACACAGGAGGTCCAGGACTAGAGAGGGGCGGGTCACGCCACCCAGGCTCCTTGCTACTCACAGCCAGAGAGAAGCACCGAGCTAGGAACGAGGAGATCGCGGCCTGGCTTCCCTGCTGACCGCTGCCCCCAGCTCGGCAGGCAGTGCAGATGCCTGAGGTTGACCCTGCGGAGCCAAGCACTGCACCCTCTCGGTCACTCTCCAGAGCCCTGCACAGGGACATCTGGCCAAGGTGCAGCATCCGCCAGACATTTGCCCTTCACACAGCTGGGCCGTAGTGGAGCACGGTCCCTGTCTCTTCCTCCGGGGGCTTGCTCTCCCTGCGCTCACGATGCGCTCCCTGGTCTGCACTGCTCCTATCTGCGCCTCCTCCTCACCAGCTTCCTCTCATCCTTCAAATCTTCAGAGACATCGCTTCCAGAAATCCCTCCTTTGGGTGGGTTCCTCCTTCCTCGGCTCTCCCACGGTATGGTGTTTTCACTGTAGTTGCCTAGATTCTGGGGAGGGCATGAAGCAAGACCTCCCTCCAGCGTCTTCCCTGCTCTCTCCCAGGTCCTGGCACCAAGCCTGGCGTGTGGTGCTCCCCAAATGCATATCCTGAAATGAACTGGCCTGGGGAGGGCTGACAGCTGAGCCCCAGGAACACCCTGCCAGCCACTGCGGTGTTGGGTTGGCGGCGCAGAGCCTCAGCGAGGTATCAGAAGGGGTGGGCAGCCCCAAAAGAATGGAAGAGAAGACAACGGTAGAGTTGGGACAGCAACATGTTTTAAGATGGAAAATGAGTTTCAGTAGCTGACCCAGCAGAGAGGAGGAAGCCATCCCTTTAATGCCTGCAGAGGGCACACTTGAGGAGCCAACCCATCACCCCAAGGACACCAGCAAAGCTCAGAACCTGGAGAGACCAGGTACCACAGAAGAAAAGAGCCAAATTGAAAGTGTGTCCTCAAAGTTGTGATACACCCCACCTTCACCTCACAGCATGGTGACTGTTACCACCCTCACCTGTGTCCCCGCCACATGCTGAAGGTTTATCAGCCTTCTAGAGAAAATGAAGTATAGGGACTCCAAACTTGGGAACACTAGCACAGTGGAACGGGGGAGGTGGTGAGGCTAAAAGCTGGGAAATTAATGAAAGTCTGCAGTGAATTTTGGGCCCCCAGTCTCCTTCCCCTGTTTGGCTTCCAGAAGGCAGAGAGATGAGATGATACTGTATCACAAAACAGGAAGAGAATTTTATTAAAAAGTGAATTAATAAAAGAAACAATCAAAGAGCTCACAGAAACTAAAATTATACTAGCTGAAGTTAAAAATTCAATAGACATGTTGAAAATAAACTTAAGGAATGTTCCTGCAAACCCAAACAGAAAGGTCAAAGTCAAGGAATACAAGCCAAAAAAATCTGAGTATTGATCTAAGATGTCAAATATGTGACTAATAGGAGTTTTAGAATGAGAAGAAATGATTAAATAAACAGTCTGAGAAAAAGTTGTCAGAACTGAAAGACAGGAGCATTCAAACTGAAAGGAGTCACTGGGAGCTCTGAATAATAAATTTTAAAAGAGATGGCATTGTAAAATTTCAGAAATAAAATTTGTAGATAAAGAAAAGATTCTAAGCATTACAAAGAGTGAAAACAGGTCACTTGCAGAGAATTGGGAATAAAATAGCACTGGATTCTTCAGCCTCTATACTGGAAGTCGGAAGACAGAGAAATGTCTTCAAAATTCTGAAGGAGAATGATTGTCATACTAGAATTTCCTCCTCGGCCAAACTGTCAATTTAGGCTGAGTGCAGAATGACAGTTTTTCAGACATAAAAGTACTCAAAATTTTCTTCCCATTTACTCTTTCTTTCAGGAAGCTACTGGAAGAAGTGTTCCACCAAAACAGAAGTGTACACACACCAAGAGGAAGGCTGGGAGCTGGAGGCAGGTGGGCCCCAGGAAGAAAATTTTCAGAGAAAAAAACAGAACTGGAGTCTTCAGGATTGAAAGAAAGCACTGAAAATATCCCTAGAGGGTGTGATAAGAATTAGAGGTGGGACAAAGAAAACCATGCTAATGAGGAAAAAAGAGGCAACTGTTAACTACAGATAAAACATAAAGTTTAAAATCAGAGGAAACAGTCATGATACAACCAACTTGACTCTACAGTAAATGTCATTTATATAATTATAATGTCAATACTGAATATCCACAAACCCCAAACCATGATAACATGGGAGGGTGTGGAGGGTGGGCAAGAGAAGCATGTTTATGGGGGTGGACAATGAGAACTGAACTCTCAACTACCATAGTAGATAATACAAAAGACTAAGCTGAGAAATAGCAGTATAGACAACCATGTTAGCTTGAAATATAAATTTCTATCTGAAGAAACAGCTAAAGTATTTGCTTCTGAGGAATAGGGATGGGAATTGAAGAGGGATGATGGGCAGCATACTATTTTTCCTTACAAGTGTTTCAGTACTATTTGACTTTTGGAACTATGCACACATATTACTTTAAAAAATGTGAAATTAATTTTTTTAAGCTTTTGAAATAAAGTTTAGAAACAAAAACAAAGAAAAGAAATGGGCACATTAACCATCAGTTTCTGTAATCATTAAAGTTGCCCTACACTACATGCCCCTCCTCCTCCCCCAAACCAAACAGAACCGTCAATATTTCAATTAGTTCTAGTTAAAGTTCCTACATACTATATATATTTTTAATTACACTGTCCTAGCCTAATCCCCATCATCTGCACCCCCTTTCCCACCCTCAACTTGAACTTTTGGGGAGTAGTATGCTGGTAAATAATTAATAATCAGTTCCTTGGGGGGAAAGAGTCCTAATGTGTAGCATTTGCCAATTTCCATGGTGCAAATATTCCCATTGTGGCTGATTTCAAGCTATCACTATGATGTCACTGATGTGGAATTGGGAAGGGGTACACATGTCAGCTCCAGCAAACTACTGCCTTCAGGCCTCTCTAGCCTCATCAGCCTCCACGCTTCCCACCAGATCCAGGGTACTGAAGAGACCTGAGTATCTTCTCCAAAGAGCCAGAAGTCCACAAGGGTATGTAACTGTAGTAGAAGTAGATACCGATGGAAAAAGAAGTGGTCTGGCTGCAGGAAAAGGGTTAGTAATTTGTGACCTTCCTTCCTTCCTCCCCCACCTCCAGCAGATTTACCTGTTCATTGGTGACCCCTGGTCGCAGGGTCCCATGCTTATAGTCCTCTAGCAGCTGCACAGCCTCTCTGAGACGTCTCTGCAAGGAAGAGAAAAGGGACATTGAGCGGCACAGATCCAGGGCTCCAGCAACTCTTTCCCTCTTTCAATACAGAATGCATCTGTATGGATCAAGTATTGACAATATGACAGTGTGCAAGGCCTGCCCTCCAGTTCACGGGACACATGCTATACACCAAAGGATACAACCTAAACGTCCTTTCATAGGGAAATGGCTGAATGGCAGTGGTAGAACAATACTACAAAATATTATTTGGCAGTTTAAAAAGTGAAGTAGATCTATGTATGATTCCATAGCCATATCTCCAAGATATTTTTTTGAGCGAGAAAGCAAATTGCAGAGCCATATGATGTCACTCGTTCTACCAAACAACCCCCCACACAGAGAAAGCAGTATTTTCTGTGAGAATACTTATGTGCAAATGCATCCAAAAAGCCTAGAAGGGGGACCCCCCCCAACTGGTGACAGGGGTTACCTTGGGGTAGGAAGAAAGGACCTTACTTGGCAAGGGGTGTCATAAGAAACTTTAATCTTAATTGCAATACTGAAAGTTTTTATAAAGAACTTATTTGCCCAGTCTGTGTGGCTCAGTGGATTGAGCATCGTCCCATGGACTGACAGGTCCCGGTCTGATTCCCAGTCAGGGCACATTCCCGGTTGCAGGCTGGATCCCCAGTGGGTTGCAGGAGGCAACAGATCAATGCATCTCTTACATCAATGTTTCTATTTCTCTCTCCCTTCCTTTCTCTCTAAAAAAACCAATAAAAACATTTTTTAAAAAAGAGAGAATATATTTATGTAATACTGCTATAATTTCTTTTCAACATTTTAGAAACACTAGCAGAGATTTATATACTAAAGTGCATATGGCTACTGTAACTGATGGGGAAAGAGAGAAAATAAAAGAAGATAGAACTGTATGACTTTTAAACTCTTCAAAGCTAGAGACAGCAACAGTGATAAAAGGTCACCTTTGTCCACCAAAACATCTGTATAAGAATATTCATAGCAGTACTATTTAAATAGCCCAAAACTACAAATAACTTAAATGTCAATAGTAGACTGAATAAATCTATTGTAGTTTATGTACACAATGAAATATTATACAGCAATTTTTTAATCTTTATTGTTGAAAGTACAATACTCCCACCCACCTCCTGCTTTCCCCAAACTATTGTCTGTGTCCAATGGTTGTGCACATATGCATGTAAGTTCTTTGGTTTATCTCTTCCCACCCCCACCCCCCATGCCCCTTTCCTCTGAGGTTTGTCAGTCTGTTCCAGCAATTTTTTTTTCTTTATTGGTTTTTAGAGAGAGAGGAAGGGAGAGGAAGAGAGAGGGAGAGAGTTAGAAACATCAATGAGACAGAACATCAATTGGCCGCCTCCTGCATGCCCCCCCTGGGGATCGGGCCCACAAACTGGGCATATGCCCTGACTGGGAATCGAACTGGCAACCTCTTGGTGCATGGGTCGACGCTCAACCACTGAGCCATACAGGCTGGGCTGTTCCAGCAGTTTTTTTTTTCTTATCCTCACCCGAGGACATCCTTCCATTTGTTGTTCAGATAGAGTGGGAGGGAGAGAGAGGAAGAGAGAGAGAGAGAGAGAAACATCAACGTGAAAGGGACACATCGAGTGGCTGCCACCCGCACGACCAACCAGGGCCGGGGACAAACTGCAACCGAGGTACTCGCCCTTAGCAGAAACCGAACCTGGGTCTCTCTGGACCACAGGCCAACGCCGCTCTAACCTCCGAGCCAAACTGGCCAGGGCTGTTCCAGCAATTTTTAAAAGCAAATTACAAACACATGTTAAAACGTGTATGAATCTGACAAAAATAATGTGGCCGAATATGTTTTCCAAAAATGGCCACCTCAATATCTCCCAAACCCAATGCTCTTCTAGAACCTTCTCAGATCCCCATCCACAGGTAGAGTTTATGTCTCTCCCCTTGACCTGGGGAAGGCTTTCCCAACTGCTTCAACAAATAGAGTTTGGCCAAGGTGACATTATGTGACCTCTGAGGTTAGGTCATAAAATGCCTTGCACCTCCACCTCACCTTCTTGGGATGGTTGCTCTCTTGGAACTCCACCATGTTGTAAGGAAGCCCAAGCACCCTATGTAGACATACTCATGAACAGCAACTGAGGGCCAGGCCCGCAGTTCCAGATGAGCCACCAGCTGCTGGTCAGCAACAGCTTGCCCACCTTGCCAGTGAGCCACCTTGAAATGCACCTTCCAGCCCCGAGTCAAGCGGCCCTAGCCGATGCTGCATGGAACAGAGATGAACCATCCCCGCTAAGCCCTGCTCAAATTAAAGATCAGTGAGCAAAAGAACCGACTATTGTTGTTTTAAGCCACTGTATTTTGGGGTAGTTTCTTACACGGCAATAGACAGCTATTATGCATGATAAGCAAAAGCAGCCAGATGCAAAAGAGTATAGTATATAAAGTTTATTAAAAATAGTCAAAACTCACCTATGGTGGTAGAGGTCATTACGTTACCTTTAGGAGGTACTAACTTGGGAAGGGCATGAGGGGATCCTCCAGGATCATGGAAATGTCTGATCTGAGTGGTGGTTACATGGATCAAAATTTACTAAGCAATAAACTTAGGATACATGCATTTAGCTGTATGTATGTTGTACCTCAAAAAATTAGCAATTGCCCTGGCTGGTTTGGTTCAGTGATTAGAGCATCAGCCTGTGGACCAGAGAGGCCCAGGTTCAGTTCCCGCTAAGGGCACGTACCTGGGTTGCAGTTTGTCCTCGGTCCCTGTTGGGGTCATGCGGGTGGCAACCCATCCATGTGTCTCTCTCACATCGATGTTTCTCTCTCTCTCTCTCTCTCTCTCTTCCTCCCTCTCTCCCTCCCACTCTATCTAAAGAAAAATGCAAAAAGAAAATATTTCCTCTGGCAAGGATAAAACAATAAAAATAATAAAAAATTTAAAAATTAGCAATAAACAGACAACAGTGATAGAAGGTGGCCTATGTCAAGATCAGGTGAGGGATCCAGACATCAGGGATGCCCAGCATGGGCAAAAAAAACCAGTGACACCGCTGTTCCCCTTCTGACAGGCAGGGACCAGGCTGGCTGGGCACGGGAGTGCAGGGAATGCTGAGACCTCCCCAGGGCGCAGCACTGGGCAGGGCACCCAGTGGGGTAGACAGCGCATTGGCTGCGCCAGCTGACAGGGTGGTCTCATAAAATGAAAACGATCAGCCACCCCCTGTGGCTGTGACAATGGGAATAACTGCCAGCCCAGACAAGCCAGCCAGGCCGCCTGACCCATCAGGCCTGTGTGTGAAGCACCTGGGGCCACGCTGGTCTAACCCAGGGCACCAGGGGCCAGGAAACCTTGCCTGGGAGCAACCCGACTGCTCGAAAGTACTGCGCCGGCCCCTTCAAATGTGTGCAAATCATTTCCCAGGTTCCAGAGAGCCTTCCAGATCTGTGTTTCCCAACTGGACAGTTTGTGTTTTCAGGGTCCCCCTCCCCAATTAATCTATGCTGTTTAGAGCAAATGTCAGGGGTGGGGGGACAGAAACGCACAAAACATAATTTGAAGTCACCTGTAAACATACCACTGAGATAACCACCTCAAAATTGTCAATGATTTTCCTTCTAGACTCAATACATTCGTTTTTCATGTTGACTGTTGTGTTAACTTGTTTAGAGTCACACAGATAGAAAGTGAGCGGTTTGGTATTTGAGTCCAGAGTTTAGAGAGGCCCTTTCTCTGTCTCCCCGAACACGCTCAAAGCCTCCCTTGCAGCAGCTCCCCACTCCGAGCCGCTTCCTCTGCGGCCGCAGCTTCTGCCGTCAGACAATGAATGCTCCACTTTCCACCGCTGAATGGTGAATGGCCCCGTGTTCTCATTATTTTCCCACTCCAGGGATTCTTCCGAGTTCCTATAACAACCTGGCCAGTCTCCATCTCATTTGACACAGTCATCAAAGAGAGGCCTCCTGCCACAAGAATGAGTTCCCAAGGGCCCTGATCTTGGCGTGGGTAGAGGGGGAACTAAAGTTCCTGAACACAAAGCTGAGAATCCAGGACTGGAGGAAGCTAGAACGCTCTTTTCTGCCTCTGGGCCTCGCTAACCCAGTCAGGTCCCCTGTCAGAAGCTGAAGGCTGGGCTCCCAGGCTGCTTACTCTCCAGGGCAGGCAAGTGCCTAGGCCACTTGTCTTGAGAGGTCCCTGAGGGCTGGCTGCTCTGGGGTCTGGTCTCCCCACAAAGGAGGGACTATTTTCAGGAGACTTGAGGGTCGGAGGAGAGTCAACCCTCCTCGCACCCTGACGCACTGTGAGTCTTGGCGGGAAGCGCTGGGCATGAGAGCGCAGGGAAAGCTAGAGTGGGGGAGGGTGAGCTTTGCAGAAAGTCTGTTCAACCAGGACCAGGCGGCCAGGCCCTGATGCCAAGACGGTGAGGGGCCCAGCCAGCTGGAGACAAGACCGGGGCTCTTCGCTGGGGCCCCGGGGCCAGGGGCAAGGACGGCCCAGTGTGCTGCCTCCCAGACTCCATCACCACCTGCCTGCTCTGGCTCACCTGCCAGGAAGTGTCACTGTGAGGGTGTCTCCTCGTATTTGACAGGGGCAAGATCTCCAGAAGGTCCCTCTGGAAATGCTGGCACCTGGGAGGTCTGCTCCAGGAGCAGAGAATTTGAACAGAGGAGAATCCTGGCCCCAAGTCCCTGCGACGAAGGAGAAGGAAGCAAAGGGGTAGGTATGGAGTGTGAGGGTGCTAGACGGAGAAGCAGGAGACCAGGCCAGATAGCAATGGAGACAGAGGGTCACAGGAAGGGAAGGGCACTGGTAGGAAATCTGGGGAGAGTCATCAGAAGGAAAACTACTCTTTTTAGCGGGGGAGAGAGGGCACCATAACACCCCCCCAAACTAAATACAGACTGAGTATAATCCCTGCTTGGTAAAGGGAGGATGACAAACTGATATAAATATTTAACTTATAATCATATTTACTATGTTAAATACATAATGGGAGTGACAGTAT